ATCTCAAGGACAAGCCGGTATGGCAAAAACATCTTTTTCCACTGGTAGACGCAGCCGAATGAACAGCTGGTGTGAACTCACGCCTACGCACTATGCCTGCGAGGGGCGGAAGCACATTCCAGGAGCAGCAATTCCGTTTTTTGAAGAAACCCAGGTTACAAGGTCTTATTTTCTCATGAGTGTTCAGAATTCTCTCACCCGACGCCATTAATTGATGTGCCTTTTTTTTTTTTTTAACTAGTTTTAACACAGACAGGTGGGCCTCTGGATTTGGGGTACCTCCTCATGTCGAGTGAGGAACGGGCATCCTGTAGACTAGGGGACAGGTCAGACTGGGTTTCATTTCCTTAAGGACCATCACGTGGGACCCAGTGGTCTCTTTCCCTGGGCGGCTGTCTCCTGCAGGGTGAATTTATCTCCCAGGCCCCTCCCAGGGTCTCCCTGCGACCCAGCGGCGGGTGGTCACCCCAGCCAGGCCCTGGCTTTAGTGATCATGGGGTTACATCTTCCAGCAGGACAGACTGAAGGAGGCTTCTCCATTTCTTTCCGGAAATAGGAATCTTTGTGTCCCAGGATTCCGTTTCCCAGCCCGTGCTGCACAGGGATCCTGCCCGCTTCCCTGATGGACCACCGAACTAGAGGTTTGAAGCCCCTTTGCCAGGATAACAGAACCTCAATCTATGCTCTCCTTCCTCCATCCCCCCACCCTGCCCTCTAAGAGGCACAGTCACAGGGCGCAAAGGTCCGCCCGGAAATTGGGTTGGCCATCTTTTCGTTATCTGTCTTTCTCAGTTCCCAAGTCCAATCTTCTAGTCTATAGCGGTTGCAGACCCGCTATAGGAGGAAAAAAGGAAACTTAACGCCTGCTTTTACCCCAGTGGTCGGAGAGTCCAGCAACAGCCCGAATGCCCATCACACTCTGGCCTATTTTAGCTGAAAGTGATGAATCCAAGGCTAAGACAGCTAGTTTGACTTTGGTGAGGATGGTGGTGGTAAGGGTGACTGGGCAAAGTCCCTTCCAGACAGGGCCCAGGGTCCAGGTCGGCATCCATTTTACCCAAACCAAGCCTCCCGGCTAGAACTGGTGTGTGGGGTGAGTGGGCTTTGGCGGTGGGAGATGGCAGGATTGCCTTTATGGCCCGGTTAAAGGCTCGGCGAGCTTCTTGTAAAGCCTGTGAGGAGTCGAGAAGGGAGTGACTGGACGTTTCTGCCTGGAGGATTTCTTGGAGTTTGGCAAGAATGGGAGGTTGTATCCAATTTTTACTCATCCTTTGTACCTGACCAGAGCTCTGTGACCTAGATGCAGCGTGAAATTTCCAATTAGTATTTATTACCTTTGCCAAACTTTGAAATGCCTTCACCCCACCAAAATTCATCAGCTGTGAAGGGTCTTCAGTGTCCTAATCACAATTTTGAAGAGTTCTCGTCAATGGTTTCCTGCCTAGACTGTTTTTTTTCGTTTTTGGGGAGGGGTGAGGGAGTCATCACAGAAGTGTTCTCTGTCTCATTCTCAACAGCGAGTCTGCAGTTAGTGAGAGCACCGCAAATGAAGCATCGTGTCCTTTACAGTCAGCATGGCCCACGGCTCTCCCCGGAGCACCTGCCTCTCTTCTCTTCCAAGTTCATGAGTTCATCTTTTGAAAGCATCTTTCCATGGGCCAGCCCCTCTCTAGTTCTCCCCGGGACGATCTGGGCTCTGCAGCCTCTTCTGCTGCCATTTCTCTCCTCCCGGAGCCTCCACAGGCCTCTCAGGCTCCTTGGAGCTGCATCAACGGTTCCATCACAGCCATGCTTCAGGTTTCCATGGCGATGACTTGTTGCCAGACCAGGCTTGGCAGCGTGGGCCCCTCCACCGGCTGCAGATGGGGTCAGGGTTGGGTGAAGCACTGAATCTGCGCCCAGATGACGGTCAGGTTGGTCAGCCCAAGCTTGGCAGGTCTTCTGGGCATCGTCTGACCCATACCAGTGCTGCAGAACTCAATAACCGAACTGGGATGGGCAGCCCGAGTGCCGCCAAGCCTAACGGCCCTCCGCCCAGAAATCAGAACACCTTGAGTTCCCACTGGTAGCCTGAGGTTTCTCTTCCTTTCCTGTGGCTGAGTCCTTGCCTATCAGGAACTCTTAGGTAGAGGGCCAGTAACCAGAATGTTGGTAGGAGTTTGTCATGAGTCCAGAGCTAGACTAGCTGAGTTTTTGTAATAAGTCCCTTCCAATCAATGGGTTTGACCAGTCTGCCATAACCAGAAAAGAATGAGTCGCAGCCCCTTGTCCTGGCTCTGCAGTCCAGGAGGTCGTCCATGGAAAGCAGAGAGTCTGGCCTATTGCTCCTTGGAACACTGTTTATTATTTTTAGAAGTGGAGGGACCAAGAGGTTCCATCCAGACAGAGTGGGCCTCCCTGGTGTCAGTCAGGAAGTTAGCTGGTTTGCTCCCATCCTCGCCGCCCCCTGGGCTCCCAGGGGCTAAGGAGTAGGAGCCCTGGCCTGTCCGTTTTCAGGGAGCTGGAAAACCAGATGGCTGTCCTTCTCTTTTTCCTTTCTGCTAGGGACATTTACTCTTCCAGTGGCCATCTGCTTACAACAGGCACATTGGTCCTTTTCCAAACATTTTCTTTCCCTTCCTCTGGGTCTAGTCCCCATGTTTCCTCTCCTGTCTGTTTCCCCAAGAGCAGTAATCACCACACATGATCTCTTTCCCTGTCTGTCTTCAGCTGAATCACAGAGCCTTTCCAGAAACACAGTGGATGAGTCATCGGGTCCCTGAGTGACCTGACTTACCTTGCATAGGTTGGTGGGTTTTCTGGCTGCTGCATTTAGCACCCCAAACAGCATCTGTCAAAGTGTCCAAAGCCTCCTTACTTTCAGTGGGGTCCCAGCTGCCCGGGTGGATGGGAAGGTTTGTTCTATCTGTCCCCTGCAGAGCTCACAGCCGGCTTCCTACGTTCTAGCTGGAGCCTGTCTCACGCCTCAGCTGTGAGCAAGGTGGTCTGGAGTTGCTGGCAGTTGTCCCAGGTTGGCTGGTGAGTGTCAAAGACAGTTTCCAGCAGACTGGTAAGGGTTTGTGGCTTTTCAGAAAACGGAGGGTTTGGGTCTTCCAATTATACAAGCCATCAGCAGAGAAGAGGACATCAATCGTGAATGGGGCTAAGGTCTCTTTCCCCATCCTCCTCTTTTAGCCTGTAACCAGAACCTGGTGGGGATGCTCCCTTAGGGGCCAAACAGGGCAGGCTCCCGGAGCCTCGATAATGCTTGCTGGCTCCTGCCTGAGTGAAGGATGGGGTGTGGAAGGCCTCTGGCTTCCCTCCATGGAGTCCCTGTCTCCTGGCCTCCCATGTACCTCCCTTTGGTCTGGTGGGATTTAAGGACCTGGAATTTCCATCTCCTCAGTTGGAGCAGGAAGAACTGGTGGTACTTTGGTTTCTCTAAACATTCTGGCCAGACTAAGTGTAGGGTGACAGGCCAGTGGAAGCTCACTCTGCCCCTGGCCTGTCCCCGAACTCAGGACTTGGAAATCCTCACCCCTGTGACTCAGGAACAACAGCCAAGCAACAGCTCACTACCTGTGCTCCAGGGACCTTATAAAAGCCTGCCTCTGCCTCTGTTCCTGCTTGGAGGCCAGCACCAGCCTGTGCTTTTCCCCATAAATCTGTGTGAGGTTTGTTACGTGGTGTGACTCTGTGGTATTCACTGGCTCCCAACTGCCAAGAGACCCTTGTGCTGGAAGCCCTCCCGACAAGAGGACCCTAACTCCCAGGATGGAGCACAAGTTTTCAACCATGGGAGCAGATGCAAAACAAGAGTCAATACCTGGTCCCTTTCAAAATTAATTTTTTTTTTTTTTCTGGGCGCGGTGGTGCGCACCTGTAACCCCAGCAGGCAAAATGTTCATACACATTAAAAAAAAAAAAAAAACAAACTATTTATTTATTTTTTTGAGATAAGGTTTCTCTGTGTAGCCCTGGCTGTCCCGAACTCACTTTGTAGACCAGGCCAGCTCAACTCACAGAGATCCACCTGCCTCTGTCTCCTGAGCGCTGGGGCCAAAGGCGAGCGCCCCCACTGCACTTGAGTACTAGATTTTTCGGAGCGCACGACCACGCCCTATCAGCGGTCTAACAGCCCTGTCTTGAGGACTTCTGTAATACTGTTCCTGGCACACGGGTCTATACAGCCAACGCTTAATTAAAAATGCCCATAGGTATATAATCCTTGAAGGCGCAAGGTGGAGCAGGCACGGTTTCACCCCTGCCCCGGGGTCTTCATTACACAGGCCTGACTCGTCCGGAAATCAGATCTGCCCTGCCGGGGTCTCCGGAGTGCCGATCAAAGGCAGGAGCCACCACGCCTGGCCACCGTTTCTTTACCGACGACCGAGGAAATTCAAACTCTGTGACTACTGTGAAGTTGCCAAACTATAAACAGCGACGCCAGCCCTGACGCTGCGCTGCAGATCTCTCCCCAGCACTCCTCCATCGCGACCTAAAACAAACGAACAAAAAACCCCAGCGAGCGGGGCGTGGTGGCGCACACTCCACAGACCGCGGCTGCGGGTCTCAGTTCTGGGTCAGCCAAAGCTCCCGAGACATCCTGGCTCGGACGACCTCAGCGAGACAACCACGGTTTCCTGGCTCAGGGTCAGGGAGAAGGGCGAGGATACAAGGGAGGGCGCTGAGGAGCGCTGAGGCCGGGCCTCCGGGAGGGACGCCGGCGAGGGCGGCCCCGAACCGCGGCTCCGCTGGACTCTGCCTGCGCGTCCGCCCAGGCTCTCACCGAAGCTGGGACCGCCCACCCCCCGGGGGCGGGGAGCCTCGGCGCCGGTAGCCTATCAGCGCTGCGGACGAGAGCCGGGCTCCTCCTCATTGGTGAGTGTTTGGATGACGTCCCTGCAGGGCGGAGCGGGCGTCGTGATTGGTTGGCGCTGGGGGCGGGTTTGCGCCTCGAGTCTGCGCCGAACTTTCGCCGTCCGTGTTTCCAGGCGGCCGTGGGGGCCACGGAGGGCGTGGACACGGCGCCCGGGAGAGCTGGGTTTTGTTCTGCGGGCGCGGGGCGGGGGGGGACTCCCGCACCGGTGACCGGAAGTGATCCTACTGACCGGAAGCGAGGCCTGAAGGGAGAGCGCGGATGCCCTGAGGGAGGAGCTCTCCGCGAAGGGGGCGGAGGGGACGTTGCGAGCCGCCGGCGAGCTGGCGGCTGGGCTCCCAGGCTGCGTGCCGGGCGCTGGGCGAGCCGGTGGGCGCCGCGGGGCCGAACTCCCGGGCTGAGGACGCGGACGCCTCACGCTCCCGAGAGCCGAGCGGGAGGGCTTTGGGCCCCCGGGGCGCCTGACGGGAGCTGGGCTGGTCGTGCGCTGCTGCTGCTGCCGCCTTTGGACGGGAGCCGGCGCCGGCTGGGGCAGGGAAGGAGCCGGGATGGCCTGGGCTCTGAAGCTGCCTCTGGCCGATGAAGTGATTGAGTCGGGGCTGGTGCAGGACTTCGATGCCAGCCTGTCCGGCATCGGCCAGGAACTGGGTGCTGGTGCTTATAGCATGAGGTGAGTGACAGTCCCTGCGGACCCCACCTCGGTCACAAAGGGAGGGTCCTGCAGCGGGTGGGGAGGCGGGGCGCGGAGTGTAAAGAGCTGTCTGCGGCGGGCTGGGCACTTTCTTTTTCCGTTGGTTTGAGTTCTGAGTGGTGGGTGTGGGAGGACTGGAAAAGGATTCCAGAAAGCGTCAGCCCTGCGGGGTCCTTGCATGCAGAGGGCGGTGGACGCTTATGTGGGCATGTCTGGATTCATGTGAAGAAAGGGCCGGTGAGGGATGTCTAGAAAGTGGGGGAGTTGGGAACTGAGGCTCAAGGTTGGCTACTTGTTGGAAGAAAGAAATGAATTGGACAAGAAGTCCACACACAGCAGACTCTTGTTTTAAGGGTTCAACAACAAACTTGTTTTAAAGGTTCACTTCCAGGGTTTCTGTCTTTGGAAACTTGAGCTGAGTTTTTAAAAGTGACAAAGCCATGGGGACTAATGCGCGCCTGAAATACTAACATCCCAGCCCTCAGGAAGTAGCGGCCGGGGATCAGGAGTTCGGGGCCATCCTTGGCTACACAGCAAGGCCAGGATGGGCTACAGGAGCTCCTGTCTCAAAAAAAAAAAAAAAAAAAAAAAAAATGGCAAAGATAACTTCTAGATGTTTCTAGACACCTGTGTGGAGCTAACTGTGGAGAAAAGATGAAAAATCTCCTTTTGTTAGGAACGGTGGGGTGGAACTGGATTAGCTGCCGGAGTTTCCTTCCCCTCGGTAGTCACTGTTTGGGTAATCCTTGCTTTTTTGTTGTTGTGGTGGTGGTGGTGGTTATTGTTATTGAGACAGGGTTTCCATGCCTAGCCCTGGCTATCCTAGAACTCTGTAGAACAGGCTGGGCTCAAACTCAGATTCACCTGCCTCTGAGGACTGGGATTTAAGGCCTGTGCCACCACCCCCAGCCTAGAGCTGGATTCTTGACTGTGCCACAGAAAAGGAATTTTGGGATAAGTTACTATGAAGCAAAGTTAGAGTTTATTAAAAGGTTTTTCAATATCGATGTTAGTATGGGGACTAAGAAAGTGAGGTGCTCAGGCAAGGAAGACACACCTTAGAATGGGGTTCAGGCTTCTCAAAGGGACCGTAGCTAACTTTATAGTAACTGTATTCAGTGGGTTTTGGTGGCACCTGATGTTCTACTTACCAGGATTGCTAAGAAACCTAACAGATCGTAGATCATACATGGAATTATTGCAGGTCTCAGGTTTCAGAAGTTAAGATGTTTTTACTGTAAACAAAAATGTAGTCTTGGTTTGGGGATTTGCAGAAAATATCTGGAAGTAATGTAGGCTTAGGCCTGCAGATGGATCACTGCTGCTGTGTGGAAGGAGCGTTTCTGTGCCCATAGTCTTCACGGAAAATATAGCCACTTGTGTTGGCATTCTGTCCCCCCACTCATGTGGATTGTGGAGGTCAAGGGGCAACATTCAGGAGTTGGTTTTGTCCTTCCACCACGAGGATTCCAGGATGGAACTCAAGTCCTCAGACCTGGTGGCAAGGGCCTGGAGTCATCAATTGATTCTTAGTGTCAGGGACTTTAGCCACACTCCATTCCCCTCCCACTTCCCTTTAAGTTTTGCTGTCTTTCTCTCTTGTTGTAATTTCCCCCTTTGAGACTTTTAAGGCTAAAAATCTGTTTTCTGGAACATCTTTGGTGTTGGGTAATGATGCAAACCCTATCTCTCCAGGGACCAAAAGTCTCAACCTGTCCAACCTAAGAAGGACATGAGAAGGCCCAAGCTTGGAGAGATTTTTTTTTTTTGAAATCTGGAATAGAGGGTGTCATTATTGGGAACATCAGACCACATAGCAATACAGACAATACAGGATGAACTGTATTTTGTACACACAAAATCTTTAAGTTTTACCCTTGTAAAGTGGTTTTTTTTTTTGTTTTGTTTTGTTTTGTTTTTGTTTTTTTAAATAAGCTAATCAGACTTTCTGTGATGTGCTTAAGCTTGGTTTTGTTCTGACTTTTTCCTGTTTCTGTTTTGGAGAAATCCTTACTATTCCTATTTAAAATCTCCTTTCCCTGGCAATGGTGACCTACAGCTTTAATCCCAGCACTTTAGAGGCAGAGGCAGGAGAATCTCTGAATTTGAGGCCAGACTGGTTTACAGAGTGAGTTCCAGGACAGCCAGGGCTACATAGAGAAACTCTATCTTGAAAAAACAATAAACAAATACAATAAAATCCCTGATTAGGCTGGGAAGATGCCAGAAGACACTGCTTTACAAGCCTGCACAGGCGCTTCTGAATTTGACCCGCCCCAACATGGAAAAGGCAGGTGCAGCCACCCCAGTGCACTCCTGACCCCAGGGTCACCGGCTCTTGCTGATCAGCATGACTGTGTGGAAGACCTGTTCAGTGACAGACCGTGTCCTAAAAGGATAAGACAGAGTTGAGAGAGTGAGACACCGTCTTGTGCCTTCACAGCTGCACACAGGGGCATGTTCCCACACACACGAGTAAAGTCCCTCTCCATTTGGAAAGGCTTTCTCTTTAATCTTTACAAAAGGTGTCTCATCTATGGCCTCCTATCTCTCTCTAAAAAAGTTCTCCGTGTTCGTGTGTGAAGAAGAAAACTTAAGTGCAAGAAAAAGAAAAGGAAACAACCAGGAACTTGAACCTTTTTGACCTAAAGAGGAGTTTTGACAAAGTACCCTTTGACAGACTACACCTGGTCTCTTAGAAAACAAATGCAGGTTTGTGTTGGCTCCCCTGTAGAGCACATGTCTGGAGTATTAAAAGAAGAGTTCTGTTTTGTGGTGTGTCGAAACTGTCGTGTCTGGAATATGTAACTTTCAAACCCCTGGAATGTGGTTGTGGTATCCCACTCCCCTGAGCTGCCTGACAATGATGATGAGAAATAGGCTACTTTTGGCATATTTCAAGGTAGGGCTTTGCCGATGCAGATTTCTCTGATTAAACTTTTAAAACTATAAGTTTTCTGGAAGTAAATCTGTATCTGACTTGATAAGGGTTTTTTGTTAGCCCAGGCTAGCTTCCAACTTGCTGTGTGGCTGAGGATGGCCTCAAACTTCTGATTCTTACGGTTTGTTTTTGAGACAGGGTTTCTCTGTGTAGCCCTGGCTGTCCTGGACTCACTCTGTAGACCAGGCTGGCCTTGAACTCACAGAGATCTATCTGCCTGCCTCTCCTGAGTACTGGGATCAAAGATGTGCACCACCATGTCCAGGTTATGTGGTACTAGGGATCAAACCCAGAGCTTTGTGACTGTTAGGCAAGCACTCTGCCAGCTGGTAGCCCCAGTCCGGGTCAGGATGTGTGTGTGGTATGTGCGTGAGTGCGTGTGTATGTGCGCGTGATCATGCAAATGTATGTGGAGGCCAGAGCTTGGAAGTCAGAAGGTGTTGGATCCCTAGATGGGAGTTTCAGAAGGTCAGGTCCAGCTAGTGTTTTCAACAGGGTGCTGAAAAGGAGTAGAAATGGTGGGTGTCTGTCCTGTTCCTGACTTCTGTAGGATTGCTTCAAGCTCGGCTCCCTTTAGGACAGTGGTTCTCAACCTGGGGGTCATGTGTCAGATACGTGCCCTTCAGTATTACATCGTGGTTTGTAACAGTAGCAAATTACAGTTGTGAAGTAGCAACAACACAATGGTGTGGTTGGGGCCCCTGCCCCGTGAGGCGCTGTGGTAAAGGGCAAAGGGCGGGGTGGAAAGGCTGAGAGCCTCTGCATTAGGGTGAGGTTGGCTCTGTTTCCCTGTGTGTGGCTGCTGTCTGTTGAGGTATGTTCTCTCTAGCCTCTGCTTTCTAGGACTTTCATCATCAAAGTGTGCTGGATTTGTGGAAGCTTTTCTGCTTCTGTTGTGATGGTTGTGCGCTGTTTTCATTGCATTCGTTGACCTGAACATCCCTGCATTTTGGGGATAAATCCAACTTGGTCATAGTGTGCAATTTTTTGCTGTCTGTATTCTGTTTGGAGGTATTTTATTGTGTATTTTTGAGTTTGTTCACCAGGGATATTGGCCTGTAGTTTTCTGGTTTTGGTTGTTGCTGTGTCTTCCCTGGTTTAGGTGTTATATTGATACAGTAGGAATTTGGGAGTGCTCCTTTTGTTACTTTTCTTCTCTGTATTTTTAATAATTAAAGAAATACTGGCTATAGATCTTTGAATATCTGGTATAATTCTGCTGTGAATCCATCTGGCCCTGAACTTTTTTAAGCTGGAAGGGTTTTTATTAGTAATTCAATCTCCTCATTTGTTGTGGGTCTATTTGGATTGCTGACTTCTTGGTTTCATTTTGGTTTGGGTGAATCTAGAAATCCATTTCTTTTACATTTTCCTACTTAATTGGAGTACAAGTTTTAAAAAAATATTCCTGTATAGTATTCTGAACTTCTTTGATGTCTGTTGTAATGTTTCCCTGTTTATTTTTGACTGATAATTTGGGTTCTCTATTTCTTCTGGTGAGTTGGGCCAAAGGATCTGTCAATTTTGTTTATTTTAAAGAAACAGCTTTCTTTACAGAAAACAGAAGAAAACAGCAATGGAGAGCTCCTATCTGTCTGATATTAATTAATAATTATATCAAAGAGTGAGTATGTGCCAGAGGTCTCAGGACATCAGCTCCTTCTAAGGGAGGCGTGTGTGTGTGCGTGCGTGTGCGTGTACACACACGTATACTTTTCCAGTAATCATTGCTTCAAGAAGACGTTCCTTTTTTGTATGTTGGGCAGACCCCTCTCACTCGTGTTTGATTTGCAAGTGCTGTCTGGTGTTAACCACCCTGTTTTCTCATCTCAGATAATGTGCACCTGTAGAATTTCTTTCTTGAGAAATCGGCAGCCACGTGAGGCAGGTTGAAGTTCACGGCAACTTACTCTTCTGTGTCAGTTTCTGACGGCGCTGACTGTTGTTAGCCTTGAGCCAGGCAGACTTCCTCACACCTGTCCCTCCTGGTTTCAGGAGAGAGTGCCTCAGCAGCTGGTAGGCCTAAAGGGAGAAGGTT